TAGTTCTCATTTGCAGTTTGCTACAAGAACTTCCACATAAGCCCTTAATTTTTTTTAATCAGAAAACCAAAACTAAGAAGAAAATTAACAGGAAATCAACAAAATGGAGAAAGCGACTTCTTGCTTTTAATAGCAAAGACATAATTTATTTACATTATCTTCCTACAAGCCAAGACACTGTTCTAGATGCTAGAAGACTGGGATTTTCATGAAAATCAAAATGCCGAACATAACGTTGAAGTGAAGATAAAAAGATTTCAGACCAATGCAACTCTTACAGGTGGCTGTTTCATTTTAAAAAGCTCACTCTCATCTCTGTGGCAAAAGAAGATGACAGAAATCACCTGCCAACCATGAACTCAATGAAAACTGATGAAAATGCATCATATTCCTCTTGTAGACAGCTCTTGCACCTTGACTGTTGGCCGAAGTTTTTTTCCATGCTACAGGAAAATGGATGTTTTTCACCTCCAACCCCTGCTATTAAGCACAACAGTTCTCTGCAGGATCCAGAATAAGGCGGCTAATTAAACACCATTCAAACACACACACGCATCCCAGTAGCTGACAGCAATTCTAGTTTCTCGTTATGCAGCCATCACTAATTAAAGTTCTCTGCATAAGGTTCTAAATTAGTAGTACAGTACATCCATTTAATCAGAATTATTTTAAGCACAGTTTGATTCAGCAAACTGGGTACAGGTTTAAGTAAACAAATTTAATCTTCCATTTTGTATACAGTTTCATACTTTCCTTTTTTTAAAAAAGAGGATGTCTTCCTTAGGAACAGCTATTAAAACACAATCTCCCATTACACATAGATTTTGGTAAAATGTGACGGTTTCTGCTAGTAATAGGCATAAATAGGTAGGTGGTTTTAAATGTATTAATTCAAATCTGAAAAAATAAATTGGAAATTTAAGTGACACACTAACCTTTCTAGCAACTACATTAAACATGACCCTTGAAAAAGTGGCCTGTACTAAAATCCACCTGGTTTATAACTTCATAGCATTATTTTATTAATGCTGATGTTATACACTATTATTGATATATGTAATACGAGAACATGTTACATATTGTAATACGAGAACATATTACATACCGTACCACTGATGCTACCCCATATTGAGCTGAACTATCCTAATTTTTCAGTTGCTCTACCAGTTTGTGGGTTTTCAGACAACATAGAATATCTTAATTTTGCTCCACCAGGAAATTTAGATTTTTAATAAATGTTTTAACCAGCTCAAAATTACACTAGCAGCTGTAAATCATAGAATAATAATAGGTCAATAATTACAAAGTTAGTAAAAAGACATGGAATAGTTACGGGGTGCACTTGGGTCATTGTTGAGCATTTTGGTTTCCTATAATAATATCAATTAGTTTCAGATAAATCAATATAAGCAAAAAAAATATCGTCAAGATATAGTTCCATTAACACTTCACACCGCTTCAGTTAATCCTGCAGGCTAGAGTCTCACTGCTATTACAAAAGGGCTTGTGTCTTTGATAATTCTCTTAAGAACAGTAATAATATGCTACCTCACACTGGCTTTGTCTCTTAACAGTAACATGCCAAAACTGAATAAGAACATTTACATTTGGCCTGGATGCCAGCTGGAACAGTGACGCACGCAGGTGATTAAACACAATCCACACTAAAATCTACATGTCATTCTTTTCTTATTAATACCACTAATAATATAGACTTATTAATGCACATAGTATTATAATATTGTGTATTACATTATCAACACAACATTGTCTTGAGCTAAAGCAAAAAATAATCCAATGACTTGCAGAGATTCTACTGGCTTAATCCACAATAACTGCCACAGTCATCAAGTCTAAAGAGCAAACTCTCTGGCAACAGTGGAAAAAAAAAAAAAAGACAAGTCAGACTTCAGACTTTGGAGACTACCAGTTCACGAAATGAAACATTTCACTTCCAATTCTAGCTATACTCCCAAAATTTTGCAGCAGCAAAGAACTGAATTTAAAAACAAACAAAAAAAAAGTTATTTTTAAAGACTAATCAATCTGTTTGTCTCCAAAGGTAGGACTTCCCCAGTATAATACTGCTTCTCCAAGGTCTTTCACCTACCCACTCTTGGATCGATGTACAGTGAAAAGTTAAAAATCTAGCTGCGAAGTGAAGAGTTTCAGGGTCTAATTCCAAACAGTAATTTGCAGTCAGCTTGATTAATTCACATAAATTAGTGTGTCTTTCTTCAAACCTCTCCTTGGTACTACACTCATCTTTTCAATTCCTGTTGACAGTCTCTTGAACACCAGCACTAAAGCCCCTCTATAGTTAGCTGGTAAAAACATACACAGTAGGAAATCCACATATTCAGCACACAGAGAACTCAAAGGATTAAGAGACAGGATTTATACCTATAAAGAAATCTCACACGCAGCTAGGACACGCTAGTCAACCAGTAGCTAAAATAGTCAATCACGCAATAGAAAAATTCCCCAGAGGCCAAAACGCCTTTCCTTGACTGAAGACATCTGCCATTTAATACATTTACAAGGAGTAATTTAAGATTCACACAGACATTTTTTAAAATACTGAACACATACATCCAGACAGAGTTCTGTGATGAGGACCTGTGTAATACCAAAACCAGTCAACCTAATAAGAAAATTATATTATACCCAGGAGGCCTGGCTAGTTTTCAGATTCCAGAGAAGCGATATTTGCATCCAGCAGATCACAAATGATTACTGTTCTCTTATTTCATTAATCTCACTATTTTGACTACAGCATGATTGGAAGAAAACAAAGGGAGTACACTGGCAATTAGAGTCTAACTTGTTATTACTCATAAAGAACTTCTATATATAAGAAAGCTTATTCATAGAAATTTGTTACAAATTGAGATTTTTATTATTGAAAAGAATTATTACAACACACTAACTACACAACAGTCTCATAAGAGACAAATATTTCACTGCATTTATACACACTCAGCTGAAAGTAATCCTTAAAGTTTGGGTGGACACTGAAACCCTCTTGTCGAAAGTTTACGTAAACAGAAAAAAGGACATAGAAAAAAAGGCACTACAAATGAGAAGAAAAATCTGTCAAATCACATGAACAGTCACATTTTTCACCCCATATAAAACAGAAGTAACACAGGCAACGCATAGTCAGCAGCTGTTACAGATCAACACTTTTTCAGCTAAAATTTTCCCTTATTCGATAATCATTGAAGCAACATAACTGTAACTCAGAAGCCAGCCTCCAGGGAACATAAAAATATTACTACATTTCTTGATACGCTTATCTTCAGATTGTTTTCTAACACATTTATTTACCACGTTAGCCAAAGCATCTAACTTTGGATTGACACTTTTACTTTGGTAAGGATAGAAGATGAAAATATGACCAATCTAGCCAAATGAAGAGCAAGCCCTGACATTTTATAGCATTTATATACAAGACCTACTAAATAATGTAACCTCTAAGGCTGTATCTGTCACTTCTGATTCCGATTTAGTTTGTTCGATGTAAAATACTGGAGAAAGGCTGCTTTTGGATCACAACTGCATGTGGAAAAACCCTTGTCTAACCACAAGAACAGCTGAACTCAACCATTCAGGCTATCAATGTGTAATTTAGAATAAAGTCAAGATACAATTTTAAAAATTTTTAATTATTATTACTGATCTGTAATAAAGGAATAACACTGGCTGGCCCATCCCAATAAGAGTATCAGAGTTTTGAGCAGGAACTTGGAAAGGTTATTCAAAGTAAGGTATCTATATGCAAGATCTGGGGGAAGGAAGACGACAGACAAGGACCTACTCTAGTTACCTGTTTCATCTGAAACAAATGTAACTGACCCAAACCACTCCACTTGTCTTTATTTTCCACTTAATTTTCGGACCTGAATCGGGAGAACATGACAGTATCCTCATCCCTGTATCAAGCAACTTTGATAAATGAACAGATGCTACAAAGGGCTACAAAGATGATTAGGGGGCTGGAGCATCTCCTATGAGGAAAAGCTGAGAGACCTGGTGCTCTTTAGCCTGGAGAAGAGAAGACTGAGAGGGGACCTTACCAATGCTTATAAATACCTAAAGTGTGGGTGTAAAGAGGACAGGGCCAGGCACTTCTCAGTGGTGCCCAGTGACAGGACAAGGGGCAACGGGCACAAACGGGAGCACAGGAAGTTCCACCTCAATATGAGGAAAAACTTCTTTACTCTGAGGGTGACAGAGCACCAGAACAGGCTGCCATTGGAGGTTGTACGGTCTCCTTCCCTGGAGATATTCAAAACCCACCAGGATGTGACCCTGTGCAACCTGCTCTAAGGGAACCTGTTTTAGCAGGGAGTTGGAGTAGATGATCTCCAGAGGTCCCTTCCGACCCCGACCGTTCTGTGATTCTGCAACAGATCATCTTCCAACACAAAAGAAAATTTTTACCAAACACAAGCACATTTCAACAAAGACCAGTTCCACTCCAACCACATATCTTTGACAAAAAATTAACTCCCTTCAAAAAGGACGGAATTTAAAGGAAGCCTATACCCGTTATACAAACAACTACAGTAAAAGCTAATCTGAATTCTTCAAAATATGTTAGATTTCCACCGCCTTTTGCTTCAGTCCTCTTCTGCACTAAAGCTGCTAGCTCATATGCAGGCACGAAGTTTAGCAACAGCCTAAACAAAGAATTTAAAGTGCTAGCAGTAACGCTACATACTCAGCTATGTGCTCTGACACTCTGCGAAGATAACATATATAGGTAGCCCAGCCTGTTTCTAAGCTGAAGAGACTGGACTGACAATACAGATCTATTTGCAGCTCAAAATAAGTTAGCATTTCTTCAAGATCAATTTTAAATTAGCATACTCAAAAAACCTATGCAACTATCTCGAGAGCAATGCTGCAGTCTTCTGTTTGTCAACTATTTAGACTAAAAGCATCCTTGATCTGCACCTGAAAGGTCAACGCACTACAACTATCTAACTCCTTACCTGTAAGTCTGTCTTCAACCATTTGGAGTCAAACCTAGCTTGAGCAGCCAGACAAAAAGGTTCAGAAGACATGTTTCCTTCTCCAGCCTTCTCTCCAGGCTGGCTGAGCAGCCCAACCTGCCACAGAAGGAGAAAATAGCATGAAATAAACCAACACACAAGGTTATTTTTGCTCAGACTAGCATGGCTTCCACTGGATCTTTAAAAAATTACCGTCAATAAGGACCTCCCTCGTTTGCATCCCCTGAAATTGCACAGGGAGAGGAATCATAAAAGATGAATTCATAGGAAGATGCATTAAGAACAGTATTTGGACCCCCCCACAACGCCCGCTGCCCTCTCCCGGTAACACCTGCGG